GGGAACAAGGAACGGGGGGAGGGTTGGGGGTTCTGGGGGGGCGGGAAGTGGGAGGGGCTAGGGCGGGGCTCCTCCCGTCCTCTTTTTTGCTTGCTGAAATATGGTAACCCTAGTCCAGTCCCAAGAGGAACCCATTCATCACCAGTGCAGCCTGGAAATGGCAGGTGTGGAGAGTCTGGGGCCCAAGGCTTCTCCCCATAGGTGCCCCATGGGACAGCTACAGAGGTGACAGGGTCCCTGTATTACCTTGGCCTCTTCCTGGCTCACAAGGAACTCACTGGGACTTAGCGCTGTTGACATCAGGCCGTTCATGTTTATTCCACAGGGGGCTACCTGGAGATTGGGCTGAGATTCCTAGAACTGGCTATGGGATTTGGGTGCCCATTTCCCATTGATATTGATGGAAATGGAACATCCACCTCCCCTAGGGGCTTTGAAACCATCCCCTCAGACCCTGTTGCTCTTTTCCTGAACACCTTCCTACCTCTGAACTCGACCTTCTGGTTCCCCCACTCTCTGGGTTTGCCAGTCCAAACCCCCTCCTCCCAGGCAGTAACTGTAGACAACACTCCGCAGCCCCAAAAACACACACTTCTCCCAGGACAGGACTGCAGACTAATTTCCCCACAGCCCCCTTTCTGCTGCCAACTTCCTGGCTTTATTAACTGGCCCAGCTCCTCCCCCAGCAGGACTTTGTCAGCAATTAGGCTTTAGCAATCCCTGGCTTTCCTCCAGGGGCAAGTTAATTGGCCTAATTTACCCCTTCTGGCTCTGTGTGTGGAGGACACCCCCTCACAAAGGGATAGGAACCTTTCCTTTTTTTTTAAATAAAAGCTAAGATTCTCAAGTGATCACGATTCCAGCAGCTGGGGAGTTAAGGAAAATACTGTGACACTCAACATGGAAATGGCTTTTCTCGTTCTCTTTTACAGAGCTAGGGGAAGCACCAAAGTCAGAAGAAGCAGGAATATCAGAGGCTTTGAATATCCCTCTGGAAAATGACCATACAGATAATGGATACTACCCCTCAGTTTTATTTTGATCTTTTTTTCCTTCCCATTGCTTTGGTCAAAGTCCAGCCACCGTAGAATGATTTAGATCTGCTATTCCTGTGTGAGCAATAAAAACTAAACACTTGCACCATCTTCTCCCATCACTGGTATTTTGCCTACCTAGGAATAGTGGGGAAATATTATCCCTCTAAAACTCAGCAGCTGTGTGCTCAGGACTATATCACAGACCTTGGGCATTCTCTTCCAACCCCCTCCCCTCACCCGATTCCCTCTGCTGCTCCTCCCAGCAGCCCCTACTCCCGCTGAAGTCCGGAGGGTTCCATGGCAGAGCCCATGTCTGGATTGGGCCTTGCAACATGGACTTGGATCTCAGGCAGCACTGAAGAGCCAGCTCTTTATCCAGCTTTCCAGCCGCTCTGGACACGTAACTACAGCGTAGCTTCACGTGACTCTCCCAGACAGACCCAGGGAGGTGGGAGGGCCGGAGTTTAATTGACTGTCCCGGCAGCTGTGGACACAGCTCTCTAGCGGTGATGAATCTTAGGCCTTTCCAAAGTCTCTTCACTTTGATCTATATTTTGTACTTTTCCTTCGTGGCCCCTCATCTGCTCCCCGCAGCCCCTTCGCGGACCATGAGGGAGGGAAGCTGTGTTGCGCTTTCACCTTTCACTTGTCAAACTCACTCAGACACTCTTTAGCTGCTTTGCATAAACCATGCACCTTGGACATGGCTTCCTGTGTCGACAGCGCCAGGAGCACACAGGTAAGGCCAGGAAAAGGATAAAGAATGCATTGAAGGTGTCCCAAAGTCTTTCAGAGAGACAGTGCTGTGTTTCTAGCATCCAAAACCATAACAGTGCCCTTTAAGCAGTGTCTGGATCACAGGGAGGATGTGGCTTACCCCCCTGAACATTGAGCTGGGCACATATCTCCACATCCCATGGCTAAAGACAGCCATAGATTCCATGCTTACTGCTATGCTGAAGAAGGCTAGAGGCTGGCAATTTCTTATTCCATGCCTACATGTTATAATGGGGATAAAGGGTCGTCCAGGCAGGGTGCTCAGTGCCTTGCAGGACTGAGCCCAGAATGGCCTCAACTAAGTGGATGCTGCAGAATGTCCTAGCAGAATGGGCCCCATTCTCATGGGTGCTGAGCTCCAGGGCTCACGTTGACTTAAACAGGAGTTGTAGGTTCTCAGCACCTCTGAAATCAGGCACTGTGGCCAAAATCTTCATACTTGGGTGCCCAGAGATAGCCAGTTGAGGCCTCCTCCAGTTCCCACTGAACTCAACGAAAGTCTTCTCCTGAGCTCAGTGGATACTGGCCTAATTTTCAGAGATGGGAGCCTCTGCAACCATATTGCTTTGCTCAGGAACTGTGGGGTTTCAGTGTGTCTGGAACTGGGCTGGGCTTATAGGGGCACCTACCTGTAAGTATCCTTGGTTAAAAATGTCAGCCTGTCAGTGCCTTAGTGAGACTGCAGCTCAGTAGCCAAATGATGTGTTCAGAAGAAGGTCAAGGAGATTTTGGCTAAAATACATGGTTTCTAGTCAACTCTGGATACTGTTACCAACTCATTTGCACCAGACTCTGGTGTGAGCGAGCAGGAGTGAGTGGCCAGTTAACAGTGCATTACAAGGGCAGGTTACAGTGTGCTGTGTGCCCCGGGCTAGCCCCACCAATCTCTCCTGCCCCTCTCCTGAGGTCAAGCACAAGCCTCCCTTCTGGTCCCTGCCAACTCTAGGGCTCTGTGGATGCCTAGGACTCCTGACTTTGCTTTTGACCATATGGACCCCATAGCCCCTGCCACTCCAGTGTGCCGGCCCCTGGCTCCCCATGGCAGGTGGAGCCATGTAGGGTTGGTCCAAGATCCCTCTACCCTGGCAGTACAAAGAGATCTTAGTGGGCCCAGAGGATCGATCATACACCCGGCAGCCTAGTGATTAGCAGGGACCAGGCCCTTGCATTCAGCTTAGCAGAACTATGGCCTGCTTCCATTGGGCCTGGATCTTTTACTAAATTAATCAAAACATTTGCTGTGTGAAGAGACCTAGTCGTGTAAATGTTTCCCTCTCTTCTTCTATTTCCCTCTCTGTCCTATCGCACTGCCAGCAACTACTTTACATCCCCTGGCTACTGAACGCCAATGTGACAATATTGCCACAGGTGCTAGGGTGGAGTCGACAAGAAGTTTGAAAGCAGAAGCTGTGGCTGTTCCTGATAATTTCCAACGGAAAGCTCCCACTTTGCCATTACAGCACTGAGTGCAGTAGATGACTAGCCACAGAGTGCGGTTAGAAAGGAGCACACTTTCCCCTTGGCACACTGCCTTATTCATGCAGTCGCCTGATGAGATAACTCTGGTACAATCCTCGCTTATCTGTAAGAGTCAGATGCGTCAGGTTTCTTTCCACCTAGCCTAGGACAATATTTTCGCCTTGAAATGTGTGCCCAATTCTGATGGGAGCTAGGACGTGCAATGCAGGACACGGTCTCTTGCATTCGCCATATCAGGGGATCATTTTTTGTAAAACTTCAGTTGAAAATGCCAAGAAGCCATTACCTAGCACAGCCTTGACGTCAGACATCCCCTGAGCACTTTCTGACATCCCTGCAGATTGCAGAGGAATGCACTTCTCCTCTAGAGTGATTAAAATGAGAGCGCTACAGAGAGAGAGACATCACTAAAAACAACAGGCGCAGTCCTACTGTGCCGTTTAGGTCCCACAGTGCCATGTAAGAGTTTAGCTGGCCTGGGCTGCATGGCTCAGGGGGTTGTACCAGGCTGGCACTGGAACTGTGACCCTTAATCATTGGTTCTCTCCCAGCCCAGGTCTGTGGTGGCAGAGATACGCTGCTAGTGGATGGCTGTTTGGCAGCTTGTGTGACGTGCGTTAGTGGTGTGGTGCCATGTTGCTTGTAGACAGATGGCTCCGTGGAGCAGAGGCCCAAGGTAGGATCACAAGGCTGCTGAGCTCCCCGCGAGAGGGGCTCCCTTCATCTCACACTGGGTGCCAAGCACGGGGGGGGGGGCAATGCACTGGCCATGCTGTACCTGTGCAGAGCTGGAGAGACCCGGAGCAGTAGTGACACTGAATCTGCTATCAGCAAAATCTTGCTTGGAACAGGTGCTTTAGTACCCAGGCCAAGCCTGGGTTGCTTTGAGCAGTGCGTTCCCAGGCACGAGCTAAGGTTACTAGGGGAGGAAAATCCATGTCACTAGGGAGCAGCGGCAGCAGCAGGGCAGAGAGAGGAGCCGCCAGCTTCCTGCAGAGGATCAGACCTTCACAGTTGTCTCCTTCCAGCCCCAAATCTCTCCTTTCTGGCCTTGCTAGTAACAGCCAGCTCTGGACGCAGAGGGAGAGCTCCTCCGTGGCTGTCAGCAGAGCACGGGCTGCTGTTACAGACCCGCTGGACTCCTCAGTATGTGTCCCGGAGAGGCACCCCCCGCACCAGCCGGGAGAAAGGATCCCCTCTGCCTCAGCCCGTGCCTGAGGCTGGGGAGGAACAGAGGCAGGCAAGACTGTGTAGGTGCGACTCTTCACTGCATTTGGCTGTGTGGAGCCCTTTGTATTTTAGCCTGCACAGACATGGCTTCTGGGAAACCCTGAGGCTCCTTGCTGAGCTGGCCTGTGGTTCTGGCACTGGGCTGGGACCCTGGAGAGCGGCAGTCAGGCTCTCGCTCTGCCGCTGGCATTCTCTCTCTGTGCCTCAGCGTCCGAGCTGTGACAGAGGGATGATGGTATTTGACCTCAATGGGAGTTAGGTGCCCCATCTGCTTAGCCACCTAGTGGGGTCTTTAGAAGCACCTCTCTGCATCTTCAGTGCCTACATCCCTTTGGACGTCTGGCCCGTAGCTCGGTGGGACAAGGGCTGTACCCAGTGCCATGGGGCTGGAGTCTGGCTGGGTGGGACTGTACTACAGAGCATCCCTGCCAGGCTGGCTCACACCTCAGTACTGAAATCCTCAGCCATTGGCTTGGTACAGGAGGCTGCAGTGCAAACCAGCCCCCATAAGAGCAGCACCTGCACCTGAATGGGGCCGGAGCCCTCTGCAATGAGCAGCGTGGTTGTGTGCACAGCAGTGTGGTCATCCAGGAGCTCCCCAGTGCAGCAGCCTGGCCTGTCTCAACCTCCCACAGGCTTTCCTGGGCTCTGGGATCAGCACAGAACAACAGGGGCTTCCAGCTGAGCGCTCACATCTTGCCCTCCCCCCAGATTAGTTGCCAGTGAGCCAAAGCCAGGAAGAGGCTCTTCAGAGGCCCAGTGCCCAGCAAGCACTGCAGGCTCATGGCATGGCAGGGAAAGGAACAGGAGACACAGACAGCTCAAGGCTGCCTTAGCAGATCCCCACTGGCTGCCCACAGCATGATGCTCTCACACAGAGGCCCTGTCCCACAGCCCTTCTCCTCCTGACACAGGGGCAGCTGAGCCCCCCTTCTGCACAGAGGCCCCGGTCCTGTGCTCCTGAAGAAGGACAGGGGTGAGGCCAGGGGAACACTCCCACCCCTAGACATCAGGCTCCTTTCCTCTGGAGAAAACGTGCCAAGGGGGGCCAATATAAACCATAACATGTAGCAGCCCCTCGGCCCAGCTTCCCCGCTGGGGTAACTCCAAGGATCCATTTCCCCTCCTACCGCACCGGTAGCTGGAGGCAGGACTGCCCTACAAATCAAGACTCTGTCTTATCACCTGGCAAACAGGTGACGAATTAAACCCTCTTATCAGTGCTGCTTGTCACAAAGGGCTGATTCACGGTCAGAATCTCCTCCTGAAGGAGCACATAGAAGCCATAAGAACTCTGTTTCGTAAGCATTTCACTGTGTGTCAGCCAGAGCCAAGAAACACCGGCGCCCATGCGGCATCTGCCCCTCCAAGCTAGACCTGCCCATGAATCAGCCACTGGCAAGCTGAAGGCAGGCTCATTACTGTATGGGTGTGAGGAGAGCTGCTATTCCCACAGCCCTGCACACCAAACTGCTGGTCCTGTCCCTTCCACATGCTGGACCCCCACGGCAGCATGGCCTGGCCTTTATCAGCAGACGTTAATGAAGCCCTGATGAAAGGCGACTTTAACCTTATGAAAGAGCTGGTGGAGTCTGGAGCTGATGTGAACAGGTGGGATAGAGAGGGCCGTACCCCACTGATGAACTGCTGCCTCCATGATGGGGAAGGCTGGGTCCTCGGAGCCGCCCAATTGCTGCTGAGCTTCGGGGCCAGGGTTGGGGATTGGGACCGGCACCGATGCAATGCTCTGATCCACACTGTGCAAAAGGGCTTGGTGGGACTGTGCCTGGGTGCCCTGGACTGCGATCTGAACCACACAGACCAGGCCGGGTGCACGGCGCTATGGCACGCAGCAGCCATAGGCCACGTGGGGATTACCACGATGATCATCCTCTCACTGAAGCGATACGGCCTGGAGATCAACAAGGCCAACAAGGATGGACTCACCCCGCTGATGCAGGCTCATCGCCAGGGCCACACGGTCTGTGCCAACATGCTTCGGGATACTGGGACGAGCCCCGAGCAGGGGAGGGTTCAAGTCCGTGCCAAGATGGCTAAGGGCTGGGAAGCCCAAGCCACAACAAGCAGATCGACAGGTTGCTCTGCTCAGTACCTCTTCCCCTGCAAACCCTTGCCCAAAAGCCTGTGGGAGAACAGAAGGAAACTGCGCAGGAGTCCAGAGCCAATCAAGCCGTGTGGGGAAACCAGAGACACTGGAGGCAAAGGGAATCCTATTCGAACAGGAAAGCAAAATCCCACTGCTGGCACTGTGAGACATCCTCCGACCCAGAAAGCTGTGCAGCCCCAAGCCACTCCCAGGGGTGAGACAGTGAAAGCAGGTCAATCCCTTGGCTCCCACGGAAAGACTGGAGACAGGATTTGGAAAAGCTCACAGAGCTCCTTCAAACCCAGCTCACGCCAGCTTTTCGCTGGAAAGCCACCCCCATGCCGGCCCAGAACACTTGCCATCCCCAAGGTACAGGCAGCCCAGCTGAGCTGGAGGCCCTGCTGCTGAGGAGGAGGACCTGGAGGCTGTCCTTTGATGCCAGAAAGGACGTGTTAAAGAAGCCCCCTGCGCCGAAGAGCAGCTCCAGGAGGCAGCGCAGTGTAGCAGCCATTCCACTCATCCCCCTCCAGGGCCAGAGGAGAGCTGTGCAAGGAGGAGTGCAAGGGAAAGCGAGTGTGAGAATATCACCCAAAGCCCAGGGAAAGAACACAGCTTAGTACTTGCAGCTAAATGGGTTCAATTATTGGCAGCAATGGCCCACGCTGAACATCTCTGGGAGACTCCAGCCTGAGCCCTGAAGAGCTGCTCTCAGGGCGTAACCCAGCAAAGGAGAGTGAAGAAAGAGCTCTGAGTGAAGAAATACATCTGTATCTCCCCATGGCAGCTGCACTGGCACATGGAGACAGCACAGAGCTAAAGGACACTCTTTGTTTTACAGGGCAGTGTAGGATAGACATTATTGGCTTCATCCTGGGACTTGCTCTCAGCAGTTTTAGGCAAAGTGCTGATGGTCTTTTAATGTAGTTTTGTGTGGATAACATTCCTTCAATGTTGTCTCTTAGCTCAGTGATCTTAACTATTCCTAAGAGGTAACTAGTCTTGATGAAAGGATGCATGTGCCAGCCCATGAGCCTTCAGTAACTTTTAGTCCATAGACCTTCTCCTTTAGGGCCGACCCAAAGCTCTATGAAGACAATGGGTGGGAGTTGTTCCATTGGCTTCAGTGGCTTAGGGCCAGATCCGCAAAGATATTCAGGTGCCTAAAGAGCTAGTCAAATTCAGGTGATTTCAATGGAAATTAGACACCAGCTGGGCCCACATGTTCTACAGTTACCTACAGATTACACACTGGTAATAAATGAATGTTACTATGGGAAACAAATGCTTGTGTAAAGCACTGTGTGCTCTCTAATAGAGTACAGAGCAATTTCAAATGGACTTTTCTACTATGCCATAGTTACCATTTTTAGTGTACTGCACTAGAATTTGCCTAGGTACAAGCAACATAAAACTATCAATTATTTTTTAACTCATGAAATCATTGTCTAAATCATAAGTACTTTCACAGAGCTGTTCCTTAGCCACCACGTGCCTTGTTAATAACGGAGACCAGGATTTTCAGAGCGAGGCTCCTAAATCCATAGTTAGGTACGAGTGCTGCGCACCCCTTAGCTGCGGTGAATACTGATGACGTGCGACACTTTCGACAATCAAGTCTCTTACTTAGGTCTGAATACGGACTTGGAAGACAAACTACCAGGTGTTAGGTGCTAAATACATTTGAGGATCTGGGCCCAACATTGCAGATCTTGGCCATACTCAAAGTCATTCACTTAAGAGGGAAATGAGTCAAAACTATTAATTTAAATCTTTTTACACTCCATATGTTTTAGGTCCCCTTCCAGCAGTGAGACCTGTGCCTACATGGATATCATTGCAGGATAGAGGCCTTCATGGCTGTAATTAAATTATGTACTAGTTCCATACCAGACAGTTTTAGGAAGTGACAGAACACATATTGTCCTTTGATTATCTGTCATGAGGAAGCCTTTTCTCTTAACTGTTATATTAATTATTAACAATGATTTACAATCTGGCTCTAAAATGTTCACCTCCTATGTAGGTTGTGTAGACAACTGCTTCCATCTAGTCAGTAAACAGGATTATCTTGCTTAGGCTTGTTCTGACATGTCACTACAAAATGTTTGTTGATTTTTCTGTTCAGAGAATCCTCATTAATCTAGCTGTAAACGCTGGGTCAAACAAAGAGTGATTGGGCTATAAGCAAACACAAAGAAAACAATGGCAAAGGCAAAGAGACTGGAGTTTGTCATTTGATACAGTTCAAAATTTCCTCCCTCCTTAAAAGTCCCTTGTGAAAGCCAGCAGCATGTCCTGGATCAGACATCAGGAATTCATCTTCCCCATTACTTTAGAATCATAGAATCATAGAACATCAGGGTTGGAAGGGACCTCAAGAGGTCATCTAGTCTAACCCCCTGCTCAAAGCAGGACCAATTCCCAACTAAATCATCCCAGCCAGGGCTTTGTCAAGCCGGGCCTTAAAAACCTCCAAGGAAGG